CAATCAGCTACTACAGATGACGTTGACATATGTGTGCTGACGTTAGCAAAGGTTCTGTCTAGAACGACAGATGGTCTCACCATGTGGCACTGTCCACTCCGTTGTTATGTAGAACACATGATTGTGGACGTAACGATAACGACAGATGTGCCATTGATGCAGGTATGTGAGAACTGACGACAGCAAACTTTCTCAGAGGTTCTCTCTCTAGAACGACAGATGGTCTCACCGTGTGGTCGTGGCCACTCCGTTGTTATGTAGAACACATGATTGGAAACGCGACGATAACGACAGATGTCCCATTCATGCAGGTATGCAAGAACTGACGATAGAAAACTTTCTCAAAGGTATGTGGTCGCGGTCGCACCACTGTTATCCTACTGTACACGTAACAACTGCGAATGCCGAAAGGTTTGCCGTGGTTGTATGCGCCTCTCTGGCGTTACGATACGATAGCACAGACGCGTGCAGCCAGAAGTCGACAAAGATACTGGACAAAGGACAAGGGCATGTTTCGTCGCGGAACCTCTATCCATTCACCCCATCCACGCTGATGAATCAGCCAGCTTCCTGCATAACTGCAAATCAACGTTGCTACCTCATTCGAGAGGCTGTCGACGTCCGTTTCTCCTAGATCCCGTGAGTTGACACACACGTCTACGGCGAAACACATGGCGGTAATCACTCGACCCCAATTTAATTCTTTCTCCTGCAGTACGGTTTCAAGCACACGTTTAAGTCCGTCTATTGTGTTGGGTGCATTGGACGTGAAAATGTAGGTAATATTTTCCCATTCCTCCTCATCTGAAATCTTATCTACCAATCGTAATAGCTTTGTATATGCGGTCGAGTCTGGCCGACGCCGGTGTTCTGAAAACGCGCGAGGCGCTTTGTGATGCAGTAAACAACAAAACACGTCCTCCGTTTGAGCTTTTACCGCATCCATCTACGACAGATTCCTTTAGCCTTTTCGGCGCGCTTTCAACTAATGAGACACAGCCGAGTGACGCTGGTCTTTTATTCCTGTGTACCGCCACAATAGACGGCCAACTTTCCCGCGCTTTTTTTTTTAGACGCGGCACCGCAGGGCGACGCTGACCTTTTTACCCCAACCTGCGTGCTGAATACACGGTACCGTAAGCAAAATAGTCAAATTTATTGCAGTTTTCAGATATGTCCACGTCGATCTATAAACTAAAGCTTTCGATAACTTAACGGGGATGTTCGAAACCGATAATTTGTATACGATTTCACACTAAACACTAGAAACACACACAGAGACATACATTCTAAACATTGAAGCATTTTATTCGTGAAAAGTCTGTAATCACAATTCACACTACAGAGCACTATGCACGGTGCTTCTTCTGGATCATGTGTCTGATCCATGAATGAACAATCGGTAATCTCAATTCACAGTTCAGAGTACTATGCACGGAGTTCTCTTTCGATCATGTCACGAATCCACGGATGAACACTCCCAGACTTGTCGTTGTCGCATCCGCCCTCTTTCTCCTCTTCACCAGTCTCCTTCTCCTGGTCTGCGTCGATGGAGCGCTGCATGTCTTGACGCCACTCTTCGTATTTTTGCCGCATGGACTCTAACGGCGGGACCTGCTCTTGCTCGCAGAGGTACACGGTAAGACCAACAAAGTCTGCGTATACTTTCCTAAACAGCATGTTCGCCAGACTGCGGTGACCGTATTCCCTTAGTTCGTCGTCGTGCAAGAAGAGGCAGGGATGGTGTCTTTGACTAGGATGATCGACCTGACATCCGTAGCAGTCGGCGGACATCAATCAGCCAAACGTCTCGCGGTACCGGTGTCCACATATTTCACGGAACACGTTACCGAGGGCCTCCTCATCCACAGGCAGGTCGGGCACGTTGTCGTTACCGCCACGGGCCATGATGTTGTCAGTCGTCAGGGCTGTGTTGGACCTCGGCTGTTTTGCTCGCTGTCGACAGAGTTCGACGCAGGTTTGTCTCCGCAAGTGGGACTGGTTTCTCGCCGGTTTCTGTTGCCACTTTATACACTTTTCTGCCAGACACCCACAGACCGTCCACCAATCGCCGTGAAGTACGTCACCTACTTCACATGCAAAGTACATGCAGACCAATCGACTACCCCGGATCCACCAACGCTTGCCGTGCGGCCAATCAGCTACTACAGAGGTTGACTTTAACCACGCCCACGACAGATTACCCAGGTAACCGGGTTCAAAAGTGCACACTGACCTTTATCTGACCTGTAATTTAGCTCATTAAGCTACATTCCTGCATGAATCTGCATACCCTTAACATAAATCTGCATACTCGTTAACATAATGACGGTGACCTCTGACCCGCACCGCCTCGCACCGCCTGCACCGCCTGAATAATGTACATCAGCGTGCTGACTACATACTACTAATATACCATAAATTGTTCCCAAGAACCACCCATTGTTTCTAACGTTAATATATCCAGACTATCAGATTCCTTCCCAGCATTCACCACAATGAACTTGGAAAGAAAATTTAATTACATATTGACTTGTGACAACCCCTACATGCTATACATGTACATAGGGATATATATTAAAGACTGTATGGATATTAGAAACTCCTCCAACGATTGTATAAGTTGATACCTATCTCATACTAGCCACCCACTTTTGTATTAGATTAGCCTTATGAAAATGTAGTTGACATGTACTTACTTACGTTAGTAGATGCCATACTTTGTACACTGTACAATTGTTGCGCAATAAAGTTATTGTATATCACAAATTATTTCAGATTTACCACGCAATTTCCAACAAACAACACATAGTTTCCATTAACCACACATTTACCCAATATATATCACACATTTTACAAAATATTATATATATATCACATATTGATTCCAACAAACCAAACATTGTTTCCAATATACCATACATTGTTTCCAAATAACACCATTTTTCCAATATGGCTCATATTGTCCAATATTTCACACATTGTTTACAATATATCACATATTGTTTCCAATATACTAAACATTGTTTGAAATATGTCACACATTGTTTATAATATATTACACATTGTTTACAATATACCACACATTGTTCTCAATATACAATACAGTTTTCAATAAACCCTACACTTGTTCCAATATACCACACATTGTTTACAACAAATCACACGGTTTCCAATAAACCACACATTGTTTCTAATATATCACACAGTTTCTAACATACCAAATATTGTTTCCAATATACCGCACATAGTTACCAACATGCCACAAATTTTCTAATATATCACACATTCAATTTGTTAAAAGCACACATTATTAAAAAAACACATTGTTTCTAATGAACCACACAGGTGATTAACAGGTCCATGAACAAAACTAGTGAGTTATTGTCTTTTGTAACCATATATGAAACATTATAACACCAAAAATACGCTCGTTAGACTGCCACATGACCAACTGCGGTGTCAAGCCAAATACATGATCCTGCCAAATACAAGACTCCGACACTACTTGGGGGTTTCCCATATACCTGCAACAAGGGTTGGGACGGAGGGGTTTAGTCGTGATGTGGGAGACTAAACCAAACCTAACCCTAATCGTAAGTCTAACCCAGGCCTATGCCTGAACAATGGTCCAAACTCTAACTCTAACTCTAATACCAACCCTAACCCTAACTCTAACTCTAATACCAACCCTAACCCTAACTCTAACTCTAATACCAACCCTAACCCTAACTCTAACCCTAATACCAACCCTAACCCTAACTCTAACTCTAATACCAACCCTAACCCTAACTCTAACTCTAATACCAACCCTAACGCTAGCCCTAAACACATGACCTCTCACGTTTGTGGCACTGGCACGTCAACTTCAATTGGCGCAACACGGGAAGCAACCGCCGCAGCATTGGCTAGGAGCTCCAGGTACCGGGTCCTCATGTCGGTCAGGCGGCGTGAGCTTGGTCTCTCTGCCCGCCTCTGGCTTGCCCCGAATCTTAACCCTAATCCATGTGAGAAAAACAAGATATATTATAGGTAGGCGGATTGATTTAGAGGTTCTACCATATATTATTTGCTGATGTACAATGGATGCAATCAAGTCAGACGTGACATCATCATCAGTAGAATCCAGAAACAATTTTTCAGGAAAGTAAAAAACAAAGTTAAACATGAATGCATCAGTCCCTACTTCAAGTATCTCGTGTTGGGATAGACCCTCAGACCATCCACGTGCCCCCCTGCAAACTGCATTAGGCGCCGGGGAACGCACCGCAGGCACAACCGGTAGCGCTGCTCGAACAAAATGATCAGGCTAGCACGCTTGAAAATAATGTGGAGACAAAAAAAAAAAAACAATTTAAAGTGATGTACCATTTATAAGAAAATATCCTCACATATCATATTTACGGTATTTAATTTAACACAAATTATATATATATATATATATATATATATATATGTGTGTGTGTGTGTGTGTGTGTGTGTGTGTGTGTGAAAGCTCTATCCTTCGACAAGGTTTCGTGCCAACACTTTATAATCAATGACCTTCTGAACACAATATGTTATTTTGCTAAATGTATCATAGAATGCTGACTCAAATCAATATGTATATTAATGCTTGCACGGTACCTGGAGCTTCCAGAGGTTCTTCCAGCCGGCGTCCGATACCACACCCAGCGTCTCTCCCATTATCGCAATGAGCAGATTCGCCATCAGCAGGAAGGAGAAGATGAGGAAGCTGACAAACAAAATAACCGCCATGATGGGATTGGGGGCCTTGTTTAGCACTGCGATGTCCTCCACCCCTATCGTGAGTTTGAACAGCGTGAAGAAGGTGCTCCCGAAGTCGCTGAACTGTTCCAGGTCCTCTGTGGCCTCCTGAAACGTGACGTAAAATGCTGAAAAACAGATAGATTTGCGTTAGCATGTCACAAAACTGTCAACCTTCACTTAACCTCGACGGAGGCCGACATCGTCTACCAGATACCTTTGACCCAGTGTTGACGTCACACTTCAAGGAAGCCACGTGACAAGCCTCACTGGGTTAGTCTACTGAGGAAGACCAGAGTGACTGGTCGAAAGCTCTAGGTGAGAGAACTTTTTGTGTTGGCTTAAAAGATTTAAATTCAAACATGTAACTACCAACACAGATAGACTTTCACGATAGCATCATCATCATCATCATCATTCATCCTCCGTAGAGGTGGAGCATACAAAATTAGTTCGCCACAACTGTCTGTCATACATCACTGAGAAAAGTTCATGTCCCTCCAAGCCAGTTTCGGTTTCAATAAGCATAAATATAAGACATAAAGCTTCCTATTTATCTGATCTGATCTGAATCTGATCACTTACCTGTGGTGTATCCAGCCAGGCATACGAGATAGACCAAAAAGAATCGAACGACGTCTTTCATGAGAATCTAGGGGTAAAAGCAAATAAAACACCAACATGCTTTTAGTCCCTGAAGACGATAGTTGAATAACCCTAATTTGTAAACTGTGAAATGATGACAGTTCACTGCGCCATTACAACAATAACGTCCAGTCGAACATCAGCACCAAGGACAGGAACAAGTACTTAATACGTTAAACTTAACGTTCCTTCCCTTACCTATGCTGTATAGGGCAACGCCCATCTCCGTTTTGCTAGACCTTGGGTCACACATATGTTCAACCAATACAGCTGGGGACTAGTCCACCTGAAGTGTTGTGTTTAGCTCCTATACTCTTTCCTAAATTCTGAGTGGTAAGTAGAGAAAGTAGTATGTACCATTACCAAAGTCTTTCACAAGCTACCAAATGCAAGGAAAACACTCTACCCTGTAGGCTATTTGCATCGGCTATACGTACGTACCCGGTGAATAATGATCGTGAAGGGCCCCAGATGTTCACTCCCTCGAGAGAAGTACAACATTAACATCCAGCCGAACACAAGTGCAATGGACATGACCACATCCTCACAGGGCAAGTTAGCCAGTCGGAGTATCATTAAAATTCCCACTGCAATAACGTACACAGCACTGTAATAAAAACAAAATCGTGTATCAGTTTTTCTTTATCTTTTTTTGGTTTGGTAAGTTGGTTGATTAAGATTCAGACTTAAGAATGTTGGTAGCAAAATTACTTCCTGCAAACGGCCTTAAATGGTCAATGCAGAGTTCAATAAATTAGCAGAGCCTCCATCGGAAGTGTTAATTAACTCATGATCATCCTTCAGAGGTTTGTGATAATCTATCTTACCTTACAAAACGGAAAGGTCCGTTGCCGATTCCGTAGCCGAATGCGTTGAAGAAGATGTATGTGCGTGTCTTCATTGAGTAATGCTTTTTCATGAAATCAGATCTCTGAAACAGATAACGACTCATTACAAAACCGAGCCACCGACGCATAGGCAAAATTATTCCTGTTTCAAATTTGTAACAGCACTTGCCTACCTTGGCTGGCTCGAAGACAAAAAATCCCAGTACAAAAGTCAACGACGTGATCACCGTGAACAACTCCCCGGCGCCACGTGCCCGGTGCCCCGGCGTGTTGTACGACTCCTGAAATTATCAAAACGTTCATTGCCTTAGTTAGAAAGGTTGTATGCTTGGATAAATGCTTGATATTTGTGGTTTAGTGCCATAACTCTTGACTTTGGATGGATTGTCAAGGAACTTGATATGTTCTTGACCTATCGAATGTATATTTTCGGTTTTGATATCTCGTGTTCTGAACATGTTGGGATCGGATGTCTTGGTGGCAGATAGTTTAAATAGTTTAATGCGACTTTGAAATGTTATAACTCAAGATGTGTGGTATGTAGGAATCGTAAGTGATGATTGTCATAATCAAATTATGATTGTACAAATCAGGAGCTAATTTGCATAATCGTTGTGGAAATATTTACATCGCAGGTTGAATTTGCTCTAACGTAACTGGTTGTTACTCCGTGAAGGAGGTCATGACCTCCGGACGGAGTATTGTGGGTAGCCGTTTTTTTCACTATCAGCTGATTGGTAAATAGACAAACAAGAAAAACTTACAAACACGGGTACTTTTTCCACCACTGTGACCGTGACGTTGTCACTGACGTTCTTTACCACATCCTGCAGTGGTCTGTGATAGCAGCACGCGGTAAAGATGATGATGTGAATGGAGTAAAACGCAGCAAACGCCCAGAACCACCATCGCACGCACCTCCATTTCTTTACGAAAAGCTGTTTTAAAGGCGTGGCTTCGATCATTCTGGCAGCCTGAAGGTGCACCGATTACAAATGATTACAAAAGACGGTTGGCAGGTGACATGCTCCAAACAATGAAAAGTATTCGTAAATAATTTTATCAAGTTCGTAAATGAATGAATAGCAAAATTCTTTGATCACAACCATTTATTTTTCACGAGCCGACGTTTCGATGACCGTCTGTCATCTTCATCAGGGCAATTCTGACTGGTTTAATGTGCACTGACGCTAGATGTTACTTGGTGCACTAAAGATGTTACATATTCAATGAAAAGCATTGATTAACTGCTTTTTACACTCATTATACAGTGTTATTCGTGTATAATGACCCATTTACATTATACAGTGTTATTCGTGTATAATGACCCATTTACCTTGATGTTATCGTAGAGCCTGTACACGTCGCTGAAGACCGCAACTTCCAGGAGACTATATCCTTGTGGACATGTGTCGATCTCAGACAGGTCGTACAGACACTCGGACACAGGGCCGTACTTCCACAGGACGTGGTGCTTAGGGTTGTTTTCTAGCAGGAACTGGAACATCTGCAGATGAGCAGAATACACACGGTTTTTCCGACACTTGGACACTGGTTCGGACTTAAACAAGGGCTGGTTCTTACAGCTGGGGTCTAGGAGGACCTGCTACATCTAGATTCCAAGAGGTCATTGATCAGATTAAAAAATCAGAGATGGCAGACTTCACCACCTTACCAATGTTGCTTTGTGACCATCTCCACGAATGAAAGCATTAGCACTGAGCCACGAGGACAACACCTACCTCTACCTCTAAATTAATCTTGTTGACTGGAGTGAAGCCTTTGAAGTAAAACCTATTTAATGCTCATGTAAGTTAAATCTGTAACTCCATACGCTACGATACGCATTACACAATCAGGATCAACTATAGTGTGGATGTTCCTACCTCCAGATTAGCACTAGCTACTGCCAGCTTGACCGGAGTGAGTCCAATCTTGTTCTGGACCTTCTCCAAATCCAGTGCGTTATACCGCTGGTTAAATTGATCCTGAGTAGATAGATACAGTGTTTATAGGTTTATGATACTACAATAGAGCCTATATACTCCACTCTTACAGGTAATTTTTGAAAGCCATAAAAACGCGAACTTTAAGCCATGTACCAGGCTGGGATGTTTTTTGTTGTATTTTGACTTGACTGTTACTGTGTTAGTATGATGCACCATCGCAAATGAGTTTTTGTTCGATTTTCAAAAGATGCATAAGAAAGTTCGAACCTGGTTGATTTCACCATTGTCGAGTTGTTCCCTGAGTGTTTCCAATTGTTTCTCCACCAGTTCCAGCACCAGTTTGGCCATGGAACAGTCAGCGTGTTCCATGGTGGCCAGCACGTGTAGAACTGTGTTACCTACATGGACGGTATAACAAGCAAACTCAAAACTATGTCATTGGGTTAGCATCAAACACATCCCTTAAACACCTCTGCAACCTTACACCACATATACAGTCTCACGCTCACACACACATACATACACACACACTCTCTCTCTCTCTCACACACACACACACACACACACACACACACACTCTCTCTCTCTCTCTCTCACACACACACACACACACACACGTGGCACACACACACACACATAAGCACACACACACACACACTCACACACAATCAAGCACGCACACTCACGCGCACGCCACTTTACAGGGAGCATAGACAGTACCCTTTGAGTCTCTGTTTTCCAACCTAGCGCCGTTTTCCACCAGATACTTGACAATGTCGTCCATACCCAAACAGGCAGCGAGTGAAAGGACATACTCCCCTGCAAAGTAAAGTGTAGGAATATAATGTTACTACTGTTATATATTTCACAGACCAAGCGGTCTTGTCTCACGGCATCATTTTTTTAATATGACGAAGCAGAATATACCTAGTTAAGTTTTATATAATAGTTAGACCCAGCCATCCTTGTTGTTTAAAAACAGTACCGAAAGTAGTGCGTCATTAGAACGTACTGCGCCTGTGCAAAACCCGTAATGTATTGTGCAAAGCACTTCGGCAGACCTTATTGTTCAAGGTCATTTTCACGTATTTAATATTGTGTATGAGCTTTCAGATTTGTCTAAAAGTCTGCAACAGGAAAAATTCCGACGCAACGTTGAACAAACATCCTACGAAATCCGGGCATCGTGCAGTCGCAGTATATCCTATCGCCTTACTACTGAGGAAAGACCACGCATTTCGTGATAAAGTCTCCCGCTTACCGTAGTAAAACAAGACGTCCTCCTTCTTAGCCCGGTACTGTGAGAATCTTGTCCCGGTGCACTGCGCGTTTGGGTCCGCCCCGAGGCTCACCATCTTCTTGACCAGAGTGAGGTTTCCGTTAAAAATGGCCAGGTGCAGCGGAGACTCTCCTGAAAAGGTAACATAATATTCTCACAACGCATTACTTTGCACTGGAATCCCAAACGTGTTTGAGTTGGTATGCCCCCTCCCCCCGGTTAATCACCGGTTAATCCTTATCCAGACCACTTATTTCTATTCAGACCGAAGGACGGTACAAACTCGGACGGTACAAACCTTACGATGGACACCGAAACGTAAGGTAAGAGACAATCTGTATCTGTATCGGTATAGCCGGTGTAACCGTCCTTCGGCGTAACACACCAGCTTTACCGACAATATTGGTTGTGTAAAGGAAAACCCTTATATCCCAAACTACAGTATCATGCAAATAGAGCAAGTTACCAATACCATTGTCATATGAGTGGCGGCGGGTCATGCTGGCATAGCCTGGATGTTTTTTCAGAATCTTCAGTGCACGTTTCTCGTTATCCTGTAGGACTTTCTCGCACAGGTCATCGAAGCTGTAACCTGCGTTTCAAAAGAGATGTGTCTGCCATTACAACTTATATGCAGCGACTATATAAGTTAGTAATGCCTCGTTTTTCATGGGTGGCCCATTCAACTTTGCCAACTTGTTTTTCAATGGGGCCCTGACTGCATAAAGTTAACCTTCATGTGTAATAAAAGAAGTAAACTTGTGCCATTATTGTAACAGAGGGTTATGAAACATATGCAACAGTAAATTAACGAAACAAAAATACATGTGTTACATACACGAAATCATGATTAAATATCATTGCGGTGGATAGGTAAAATCATTAAGTAGGTATTGAAACCGCTTTACAATTAATTTAGAAATTGTAAATCACCTTCACCACTTGGTCTAGCGGCATCACTCTGCACAACTTTCGGTCGCGTAGCGGAAACACTCGGTACAGCACGTTCCCTTCTCTGCACAGCTACCGGTTGCATCTCGATATCATCCGGTCCAGGTTTTGTCGT